GTTATCGCTTACTTTCTTTAGCTTCGTGGATCCGTTTCATTCAAAAGGTTTTTTTTTTTTTACTTCTTCTTTTTGTATCCATGCCATGTTATATTGTTTATCTTAAAATCATTTTCCAATTTGACGAAGCATTAACATTAGTCACAATAATACATTCAATTGTTTTAAAATGGAAAAAGCCTAGTCTCCACAAATCCTTCTTGTTTTTTAAATGATAGGTAACAGTTTTATCTATTTGGACAATGGATCACTCAGTACAAATTGGATTTTTCTTAGCTTTTTTCTCTTAAAACTAAAAATGTATGACGAGCGAACCTTCTTTACCAGAGAAGGCAAATGCAGATAAATAGGTCTTTTCAACAGGCCGGGTGAAACCCAACTTAAAATAAGCTATCCCATTTAATATTTTAGCGGAGTTGAACTAGAATGGTATGCCTGGGTCAAGGCTCGCAAATGGGACTTCTTCTCAAGTGGCAACTTTTTGTTTATGATCGAATTAGTCTTTATGGAATGGGAAATTATTTTCATTTTTCATAGGAAAATGCTTTATCTTGAGGCTAGAAAATTCATGGCAACCAAGCCCATCGTAACGAGAATGATTACCGAAGTATCTTCAGTTCAAACTTTGGCAGTGTGATCAATATGTACACACATAATCTGAAATAGGATAAAGGTCATATGGCTTCCTCCTTCTGCTGGTAAAAATGTCGGTAAAGGTCTGAAAATAAGAGTATGACGGGTCGGCGTGACAGGAGCGAAGATGACACAATGAGGGCTAGCATGGGTTTGGCACTGATGACGTATGAGTCGAAATCTGTGAGGATTGAGTCAATGGCTCACAGAGAAGATAGAATGCGATCATCTCTTCAGCTCCGAATGATGCAGAACTTGAGGCATGTCTGAGTCTTTGCTGCGAGGTCTCTCTATTGAAATTAGGACTCGGATACACTCGAAATTGTCCTCGAATCCAATTGTTTATCCTTCGGTCCCCAGTCCCATGAAGCATGGATAGATTTCCTTCGACTCGAATTAAGTTACCAACTACTTAGATCTTGAAAGATGTTGTCGGCAACTGGATTTTCATTGGATAAAGGATGTTATTCTTAGATATATACGAATAGCGCAACCAAGCGGTTCATGCACTTGCAAAAGAAGGCTTAATCGCAGTCACTTGAGATGTAGAGAAAACTCAATTTGAATTGATTTTGAAGTCCTACTTCCTCCATTATTAATGTTGTTGTTAGTTGATTCTTCTTAATTTAAAGTCTTATTTTTCAATCTTAAAAAAATTAGCACACAAATCACAATGCCCAAACCGCATGTAAATTACTACAAAGTTATCGTTTTTTTTAGTTTATGCTATGCTACTTCAGTTGTGTGTGGTTAATTACAAAGGAGAGTCTAAATTAGTCAAAATTGTTCAATAGTCAATATTTCGCTAAATTGGTGTTGGATTACCATAACAGATAATACATTACACTGTTGGCTAGTTTGAATACCCAGCCGCTTTGCAGTGACGATGCCAAAGCATGTATGCCTTATGTGTTGATGACGCATGTGCTTCAACAAAACAACACCATTCTTCTATGCTCGCTTTCAAGGCAATGTGCGTACACCAACCAAATCATTAAAGCTCTTCTATCTCTAATTAATTCTGATAATTTTTTTTTTTATCTTTTTTTTTTTTTCTGCAACTACCGCAAAGGTCATGACTAATAAAGTAATTTTTTTTTTTTTTTTTTTTTTTTTTTGCAATACCAAGTCATGCTATAACATTTACATTCTGTTTGATTAGAGGTGAAGGAGGGTGTATATAAGGGGAATAAGATGTATCTAAGATACTTATCCTCATTTTGAAAAAGGTGAGTTAAGGAATAATGAGGGTAGATAAGAGTAAGCCTTTCGCTTTTTTACCTCTCAAATCTCAATTTTTGCTAACACCCTAATTTGGGTGTAAGTAAGGAGAGGGAGAGGTAACTAAGGGTGTGTTTAGTTTAGCTGATTTATATAGCTGATAGCTGTTTCGTACCCAACAGCTAAGGTGCTTGGTAAGCCATTTTAATTAGCAGCTGATAGTTGATAGAAGTCCTAATCAGTTGTTATTTCTATAAACTACCTTTAGAAGCTTTTTCGTATCAGTTGGTAACTAATTCGTATTTGTATTATTTTGGACTTCATTAACCTTAAAAATTATTAATGAGATTATTTTCCAAATTAATATTTTTAATGATAATTTTTGTTTATAATTATTTAAAAATTTTTCTTACTTAAATATTTTTTAAAAATTTTAATTATATTTTGTTTTATATAATACATAAAATAAATAATTATTCATTTTAAATTAAAAACCACACACACACACACACACACATATATATATATATATATATTATTAATGAAAATTATTTCTCCCAAATTAATATTTTTTTTGGATATAATTTTTAGTTTATCAATTATTTAAAAAATTTCTTAAATTTATTTTAAAATTTAATTAATATTTTTATTTATATATTACATTAAATAAAAAATATATTTTTTTTAAATTAAAACATATATATATATATTATATATATAACTCTTATATATATCACACATTATAATATATAAAAATAATTATACCTATAAAAGTCATTTTATATTTTAACAATAATCGTTGATAAAATTTTATCAAACATAAATAATAATCAGTTAACCGCTATCAGCCATCAGCCATTAACTATCAACAACTATTTTTAAGTATTTTTGTACTACTTTTAATTATTTACCCGTTTCTTTCCCTCTTTCCAAACACAAAAAATATACATTATCTCTCTTTACCTTTCAACTAATTCACTCATTTCCAAATATCAACATTATTTTATTTCAGCTCTCCCTACCCTTCCCCCTCCTTATCCTCCCTTCCCTTCCATTAATTACCTCTCTCATCCTATCCAAATAGAGTGTTAGAATTAGCATTTCATAAACTTTAATTAAATTTTTTTTGACAATTACACTTGTTATTTTTTGGCGGAATTCAACTAATTAAATAGTTAATTTTCTTTTTTTTTTATCATTTTTTTTATCTAATAGGTAGCAGCTAACTGGTAACAGCTACTGCACCAGGCCATCAGCAAACTACAAAAACAGCAGAAACCAACAACTATCCCTAATACCGTCGTTCGTATCGTGTGGCAAATTCAGGTTCAATCTCCGCTTAAAAAACGACAAATAGTTTACAGAAAGAAGTCAATTGAAGTAACTATTTCTTTCTCCCTTCAAATCTTTAGAGGCCGGCTCTGTAAAAGAAGATGGAGACGATCAACGAAATCAGAGAAATCGAAGAGAAAAATCCAAACCCCAACAAGTTTTCAAATAATAGTTCGAATCCAAACCAAAACCAAAGCCCAAACCCAGAACCGGACCCGAAAACGAATCCGAAATCGAGAACGGTGAGGACAAAGGTGTCAGAGGTGGAGATCCATCTGTACCGACAAGGTAAGGGTCCGATCGAAGTGTTTAAGTCGAGCTTGGGAGGATGGGACCAAGACCAGCTGGAGATCCGGGATATATTAGAAAAATACGGTTTCAAGTCGGTTTACGCTTTCAATCCGAATTCTGGCCGGGCCGCCCCGATCAGGTTTAATCCAAGGAATGGAAGGTCTTTGCTTGGGTATAGAGATGGATCCGTGATTTGCATTGATGGAGAGCCAAAGGTATAATCATAAATGTTAAAATTTCAATACAGTTTCTTTTGCTTTTTTGAATTGATTTATGAGAATTAAATTCAGTTCAGTTTCTGCTTGGTTTGTGGGAAAGTGAAGGAAAATGAATTACCTGATTAGATATGTATTTATTAAGGGTGTGCTGATTTCATTCTTAAAAGCCACTCTGTTAGATGCCTAATGTGCAAAGATAGAAAAAGAATACAAGAAGACTTAATTTAAAATCGCTTATAATCAGCCATAGAAACTAATTTGTCAACAAACCATAAGTTTAGAGCACAAACAGAAGCAGGAATTTGGTGCTAATACTCATTATTCGTGCAAAGCCTAGCAAAAATTGCAGTCTGGTTAGGTTCTTTTTATGGAAATTCTTCTGTCTTAGTTTTTAATAATTATCCAAAACATGGTATTATGATAAGTTCTGATGTAGCCTTTTGATTATCGTTAATTTGTTGTTCCAATCTTCAACCCGTTTGCAGAGTTTTACCCTAACACGTGTGGTAGATGGTACATAATCAATAGGCGATGTGCTTGCATAATAAATACAAGGCTTTGGTAGTTTTTCCACCCCCATGTCACTTGTTTTTAAAATTTTTTTTTAACCTGTTTAGGATTACCAATCAGGTCTTGAAGCTATACACGTTAGCTTCTGGATATCGGTTTTGCAAGTTCTTATACTGATAGCTTTTACAGTAAAGCTTCTGGATATCGGTTTTGCGAGTTCTTATACTGATAGCTTTTACAGTAAACTTTTTCTTTTTTTTTTTTTTTTCTTTATACAGTACTTACGATGGATGTAGATCGGTTTTTAGCGAGTTCTTATACTGATGAAGCTTTTTTACAGATAAACTTATTTCCTTTTATGTTTTTTTTTGTGAGTTCTTATACTGATAGCTTTTACAGTAAACTTTTTCTTTTTTTTTTTTTTTTCTGTTAAAGCAGTGAATTTGATATTCATTGGAGGATAAACCGGATTTGGAAGGTGCATAGTAGAGTTCATAACCATTATTTATTCTTCTGGACTGCTAGTTCACTAGACTAAGATTAAGAATCTCACCAGTTGGGTTGCTTTTTGCATAGGATATGATACCAAAGGAATGTTTTTAAAAATGGATGAATGCTACACATCACATGAACTCGGAAATTTCTCTTCAGTCCACTGGAAATATAAAAATTATTTGGACTCTTTTTTATTTTTCTTTGCATGAATAAACTAGTTTGGTGTTTGCGCGTGCACGCACCCACATTTTTATTAGCCTTTTTTTTTTAAAATAAATTTGGAATTTACAATTCTCTCTCTCTCTCTCTCTCTCTCTCTCTCTTTCTTTGAAGTTTGTCTTTAACTTCAATTTTTATATATGACCAATAAAAATTACTCTGATCAAGTAATTCTTAGAGATCTCTGTAGACTTCCCAATGTTTCTTCAACCTTTCTATCCGACTCTTTGTTTAGTTAAATTTTCTATTAGCAGCATTTTTTCCATATCCCTGCATTCATAAAGCTTTGCATTTGCCAAAAATTTGCTTAAATGTTGAAGTCCCATTTATCTGACACAGTAACTATGCAATTGCAGGATTCCTTGGTCAAACCTGTCACCAAGATCTTGTTCAGTGTAGCGGTTATAACTCTTTTGATAACAATGGTGGTGAAAGAACCACCAGAATGGATCAAAAAGTCAAATTTCTTTGGTGGAAGCTACTCCCCATGGATCCTTGCTTGTGCAGTAATTGTATTTACTCGCATGAGGAAGAGAACGAAGGACTACTTAAAGAACCATGGCTGGTAATTGGTAAACACATAGCCATGGACTTTTTTTTTCCCTTTTTGTCCTTTCGTTTTGAGCGTGGTGTGGCGCGGAGGAGGATGAATTGCCTCTTGGACTATTTTGAAATTTTTTGTAAAGAATTGATAATAGATGCTATAACAATATACTCTAAGCAGTTGCTTCTGTTTGGTTTAATTGGATGTTGACTGAAGACTTCATTAAATTACATCATAAATATAGAGAGGAAATTTGAGGATGAAATACATTGATTTTGACTGTGTCATCGATTTATTGTAGTTCAATCAATTATATGGATTTTTATTGAGTTTACATTACCACAATCTTTTCTTTGAAAGCCGATTAAAGTGAAATCGAGCCCAGAAGGAGTCTCTTTATTCCCCCCTACAATTTTTTGCTATTTGATAGTTTGATATCTTGGTACCCTGAAAGTGGTGATATTGTCTCTCTTTCTTCTTTTTTTCTTTCGGACTAAAGAAGCTTTGTTAACCCAAAAAAAAAAAAAAAAAAAAAAAAAAAAACTTTCGGGACTAAAAGAAGCTTTTTGGGTTAAAAAAAAAAAAAAAAAATAAAATAAAAAAGCAAATCAACAATTAGAGCTTCTAAACTACTGGGGATTGTATCCCAAACCCAAAAGCTGGTATAGCCTTATTAGCCAAAGCATCGCCATTGGTATTTGCTTGCCTTCTGATCCAAGCCAAATAAGCATTACATAATTGACTAATACAAGTCCTATAAAGGCTTAGCCAAAGCATCGCCAGTGGTAGTTGCTTGCCTTCTGATCCAAGCCAAAGAAACATTACATAATTGACTAATACAAGTCCTATAAAGGCTTAGCCAAAGCATCGCCAGTGGTAGTTGCTTGCCTTTACATAATTGACTAATACAAGTCCTATAAAGGCTTAGCCAAAGCATCGCCAGTGGTAGTTGCTTGCCTTCTGATCCAAGCCAAAGAAACATTACATAATTGACTAATACAAGTCCTATAAAGGCTTAGCCAAAGCATCGCCAGTGGTAGTTGCTTGCCTTCTGATCCAAGCCAAAGAAACATTACATAATTGACTAATACAAGTCCTATAATCTTTTATACTGATCAACCCATTTTGTGAGTTTTAAATTTGGGCTTTATAGTTTGGGTATTGTTGAACCCATTTTGTGAATTTTTATTTGAGAAAAGGGTTTAATATTATGGACTTGGGCTTAAATTTTATTGGGTTTCAATTAATATTTTTTAAATTATTAATTGATTAATTAATTAATTTCTATTAATTAATTAAAAGAAATAAAAGACGTGATCTGCAATTATGCAAGCATTCTTCAAAGCGGTTGTTCACGTACAAGACGGTGGGGCACCAAAGGAATTAACGAGTACGTGTATCAGTGGACCCTTTTGGTAACCACCTGTGAAGCTTATAAAAGGAGTGAGAGAACCCCAACAAAGGATAACCAAAAATTTTTTGACGAATACAACAAATCAAATCAAACTCTCCAATTGAGTTAAACATTTTTATTTTCAAAGCATTGTCTTTATTTTTTCCTAAACACGGTTTATTTACGTTTCTTGTAATTTCAAGCTTTCATTTCAATTTAAGCAATTAAATTTAATTTACTTTTCAAGCAATCAAACTCTCTTTATAATTTTCTCTACTCAAATTTACTTTAATTGCACAACCGGTGAAGCTTTTGTCGTGGATCCAACCCACAGCCTAAAAGTCAGATCAAGCGCACTTTAATTCCTTAGTTGGTGTACTTCACATACCTAACACACCCGCACTTAATTCAAAAATCAAGTTGTCAGCCAATGGATTGTTGCTCTTTTCTTAAAAAAGAACCAACAATTTTTAGTGGCATTGCCCAGTGGGAACACTTTTGTGCATTTCATTTTTCACTTGAGTTTTGAGAGAATACCATGATTGAAAAAACTCATTCTGTTGTTGAAAAAGAAACTGTTGCCGAGTCTTTGGATTCGGATGGAGGACCTACAGGAGTAGGCCTTGGAAGCCCTGAAAAAGGAACATCTCCTCATGAGGAAGGAGAAATCAACTCTCTTGCTCAAAATCCCCAGAAGTTGCACTTACCTCTGACGATCTCAATCAATGCTCAGGTAAAACAAATTTTGTTTCTGATGTTGTCTTTGATTCTTCTGAGGTGAAAGCAATGTTGAAAGAACAAAGGCAAATGATGGCCCAATTGCTGCAAACCATGAATGTTTTCATGGAGGTCACTGGAAAGAAGACTGATGCTATGGACTCACCCATTAATCAATCTCCTACTAGCAAGTCTTCTGCTAAGGAAGGGAATGAATCTTCATCCAAGTGTGCCAAAGAACTCGGCATGCAACTGCCTCAAAATCCCTCGAGGGGCACTGACAGTGGTCGTGCCCTTGCTGAAGAGAGGTATCAACCACCACATTGGAGAGATGAGCCGGTGCATCACCCATCAAAGGCACCACTCTAGATAGGCCGCCCCACTGGCAAGCCTATAGCGACTCCTAACATTATTTTTGGGACCACTAGTCCTGTGACTAACCCAGGTGGTTATGAGGCTGAGGCTTCTTATGCTCCTCAGTCGTTGACAAGCACAGGAGAAAGCTAGGGAACTAGAGGGGTCGCCTTTAATGCAGCTCCCTAGAATATATACACAGGTGTCAATATTCCTCAAACGGTAGGTAATCCTGTTCCTCAGGTTCTCCAAGTCACTATGGATGTTCTGAGGGACACTATGTAAGAGCTGTGTGGGCCTGACCTTAGAAAGGTTGGCCACCCAGAGTTTGTGAAGCCGTGTTAAAAAACAATCGACAGAGAGAACCCTTATCCCAGGGGGTACAAATTCCAGACTTCACATTATTCTTTGGAGAAGACAGACAATCAACCGTGGAGCATATAGCCAGATTCACCATCCAATGTGGGGAACTTGCCAATCTGGAGAATTTTGCTAATTATAAGTTGCGACTGTTTCCTAACTCCTTGACAGATACAGCTTTCACCTGGTATTCAACACTTCCGAGGAAATTAGTCAATTCATAGTATGAGATGGAGCGTCTCTTCCATACCCAGCTCTTTAGAGTTGAGCTAGAGGTTGGTGGGGCCAAGTTGTCCAGGCTAACATAAAGAAGTGCAGAGATGGCTGACTCATTTATTGCAATGTTTAAGAAGCTGAGGAACTGGTATAAGGTATTCTTACCTGAACCCGAGTTTGTCAAGATGGCTCAGAGAGGCTTGGACTTTAAGTTGAGGAAGAAATTCCAAGGGATGGAGTTTAAAGATTTCTATGAGCTGCCGGCTAAGGTAGCGGAATACGAAGAGCTGGTGAAAGAAGAATCACAGAGGAAGAGGAGCTCAACAGGAACTTATTATTAGGAGCTTCATCAGGAAACAGTTATGGCTAACTTGGTGAACTCAGGTTCTTGTGTGTGTCCGAACTTAGGAGTCCCAATAAAGACAATATCTTAGAAGAAGAACTCTGGTTCGGAGACTCAATTTACCTTTGATGTGTCTAAAACTGAGGAGATATTTTGTTTCTTGCTGAAGGAAAATTTTGTGTCTCTCCCACTTGGTCATAAGCTGTTGACGAAAAAAGAGACGAAGGGAAAACAATACTGTAAGTACCATGATTCCTGGAACTATAATACTAATAGCTACTGGAGTTTCAGGAATACTTTACAGGACCACATTAATAGAGGAGTGTTGAGGTTCCCTGACAAAGTGCAGATGCTGACTAATGAGGATCCTTTTCCACCCGTAGCCTCCATCAATGCTATGGAAGTGGATCTGAGAAGTATCATTGACCAGTTGAAGAAGGTACAGGTTCATCAGAAGATCTCAAAGACACATAATAAGTTGTAGCAACATTGGCAGCAGAAGTTTCCAAAGGGAGCTGGTCCATCTGTTGACCGCTTTCCTGCGAAGACAAAAGTGATTAGATCTGAACCAAAGTTCCAAAGGAAGCAGTCAAGATTTGTTGTTCCTCCACCTGTTGAACCAAGTAAGAAGTGGATGGTGGTGCGACATCTGAAGTTCCCTCAGCCTCTAACTCGAACTCAGAAGAGGAGGTTGTAGAGAAAAAGAGTCTTGGATAAGTTGTAGAAGGCAGCTTTAGCCAGTTCCAACTGTGGAAATGAAAAAAAATAAGTTCAAGCATAAAGCCACAGATGATGACGTAGAATCTCAAGGGAGTTCTATGGAGAAGGAGGTTTCTGAAGGTAACTTATCATTTAAAGGCGTGCCTTTAACTTTTGGTTGTGCAGTTTTAAGAATAGTCTTACCTCTAGAGTTCTGGAAGTTTTCCTAAGGGAGATGTGCAAACCAAAGATATGCAATGGAGTGACTATTCAATGTTCCAAGCCTGGAGAACCAATGAGTAGTGCTTGAGAAGCCTGTAGAAAGCATGAATCAACACATCATGCCATTATATATTACTGCAAATATTGATTAGAAACTCATTTCAAGGGTTCTTGTAGACAATGGATCGGCGTTGAATATAATGCCATTCAAAACACTTTTAGCTAGTGGAAGGACAAAGGAAGATCTTATAGCTATCAACATTTCAGTGTCGGCTTTTACTGGTGATAGACAATGGATCGGCGTTGAATATAATGCCATTCAAAACACTTTTAGCTAGTGGAAGGACAAAGGAAGATCTTATAGCTATCAACATTTCAGTGTCGGCTTTTACTGGTGATGTGTCAAGAACCATGGGGGTACTGCCAGTAGAGATTACTATTGGTAGTAAAACATCTTTGTCAGCCTTCTTCATTGTTATATCTAGTGCTGGGTATAATGTATATTTGGAAGGCACTGGATTCATGCCAACTGGTGTGTACCGTCCTCGTTGCATCAGTTCTTGATATTTTGGAAAGTTGATGATGTGGAAGTTGTATGGGCAGATCCTAAACCTTTTCAAGCTAACTCCAGTGTATTAGAAGCATAGTTGTATGATGCGAATTTCAGTCCCATCCATTGTATCAGAAAGGGCTGGACTCGAAAGGAAGCGGTAGAAGTTAGAAGTGGTGGAAGTTGAAAAAGATTTTTCTTTTGAGGAAGGTTGCGCCCTAAATCAACCTGGGCATATAGTTACTGAAGTTTCGAGGGACACAAGCTCATCAGATGTTTCTGAGTTCAGTTTAACACCATCATTAGCCATTGTGCCTTATAAGAGGCCAAGGTGGGAGCCTGAGGTGACAGAGCTCCACGATTAATAAAACATATTCTAATGAAGAGATGGCAGCAACTGCAGCTGCCATCTC